CATCCCTCAGTACATCAGGCCAGATGTTGCTTTCTGCCTTTTAGGCATAAGGAGACTCTCAGGGAGTACAGAGCTGAATTAGGGATGATTTCTTAATCCTCAGCGAAGGATTACTACAACTGCTACAATCAGAAGTTTCCATTATTCTGCGTGCTGCACTATCATTCAAACTAGACAGAAAGGATATTAAGCAATAACACATCAACCTTATTTTGCACGTTCCTTGCAAATGATAAAATTCTCTTTAGGAAAACAGACAATCATGTGTACTGTCTGGAATATGTGTTTGCATATTTCTGTCTGAAAATTTTTACCAAGACTGTATTTTTTTTTTACCTGATGCACTATTTACTAAGGTTGCATGCAGCTTCTACACAAAGTGAAATATTTGCTCCTCTTCTTTTCTTTTCTTTTTTTTCTTTTCTTTTTTTTTTTTTTTTCCTTCTTTTGTTCTGGTTAAGACTTGCCAGTCAAGAGACTGTTTTTGGCACTGAACCATAGAATTACAGTTTCCTCTTTTCCTGAGTAGCTCTTGGAAAATGATTCTCAAAGCTAATAACAATCACTTTTGTTAGTGTACATATTTTTTAAAAGTAGGAGCAGACAATTAAAATATGAACACAAAGTTAAGATGCTCTAAAGCTGAAAAATGGCAAGTATTCTATTTCATGGGAAACATCATATGCTGTTCAGAAGAACTGGTGTGTAAATGTATCCTTTATACTACTTATAGAAGCCCTTCCTCTGTGTAATAAGGTGCATATTTATGAAAAACAAAACAAAACAAAAAAACATTATAGCAGAAATCAGAGCGGTTCCAAGCCAAGGTAAAGGTACTTCTTAAATTGTAAATAGCTGTATTAGAAGATATATCAGTATAGTTGTAGTTTGATTTATTCTTTCCTTTGAGAAGAAATGCTATTCATGTTTTAGTGTTTTGATATAGTCAGCCTCATTTGGAGGTATTCACTGTTTTTTGTATGGCAAACCATCTCACAGAAGCTACTCAGCTCTTTATGAATAGAAACTCAATTTCTTAGGTATAATAGAGCTGTTCATTGGGTCTGTCCTTGTGTTCTGTCGTTGAAATTCAAAATATATGTTCATAAACAAAAAGTGCTATTATTCAATCCACATCCAAAAAGACAGAAACCTAAATATTTCTTTATGAAGGTGGAATGAGATGGCAAATACATGTAACAAGAAGGAGAAGCTTTTCTGTAATGTAGTGTAACTAGATACAACAAACAATGCGGAGTCTGTAATATAACAGCTCTAAGAAATACACTACATACTTTGATGTTAGTTTTCTCTGCAGTGTTCTTCATATGGTACTGAATATAGGAACAGGACAGTCAATCTCAGAACAGCTAAATGGTAATTTTTGTTCTGAAAAGACTGGATTAGAATACAGAATGATTTGTAAATTTGGTTAGTACTTTTTCATAATTTTAAATCATGGCAATTCTGAGTGGGCTGCTTGCAAAGGAGCTGGTCTTGCTCAGCAGAAGCCTGGAGAGTTCTCACTGCAGATTTTTCACTGGGTTCAGAGAAAATAAATTGTTAGGGCAGTAAGAGTTTAGATAAGTACAATTAAAAGAACCTTTTGCTATAACTTCTTTGGTTCCAGTGGAGCTGAACCTGAGGGTTAATAATAAATACCCTGCAGACAATAAGATTTTAAAGTCTTTTTTCAAGAAGTCTCAGTGCTTTGGGTTTAGTGACATAAGCAAAACCACAGGAGACTGAGTGAAATGTCAAGCTGCTTCTTGTCACCCCTCTTCCTGGATGCCTAATTCTCCCTATGCCTGTTCTAATGGAAGTTTGAAGTGCCACCACTGCCTGTCCTGAGCTCCACAGAGATTTTGGGTGCCTGGATCCTATGGCTCACTGCACTAAAACACCTGTATCATTGCACAATCCACCGCAGGTAGTGATGTGGATTGAAAACTGAGTGAATGGCAGAGCCCAGAGGGAGGTGATCTGGGGTGCAAAGTCTTCTCAGAGGCTAGTAACTAGTGACTAGGGGTCAATACTGGGTCTAGTCCTGTTTAACATCTTCATTAATGATCTGGATGAAGATCTGCACTCAGCAAGTTTGCAGATGACATAACGCTGAAGGATAAGGCAGACATGCCAGAGGGTTGTGCTGTCATTCAGAGGGACCTTTACAAGCTGGAGAGATGGCCTGACAGAAACCTTGTGAAGTTCAACAAGGAGAAGTGCCAAGTCCTGTACCTGGGGAGGAACAACCCCAGGCACCATTACATGCTGGGAGCCACCCAGCTGGAAAGCAGCTCTGTAGAAAAGGGTCTGGGGGTTGAACATGAGCCAGCAACATGTCCTTGCTGCTAAGAAGACAAATGGTATCCTGGGCTTTATTAGGCAATGTATCACCAGCAGGCCAAGGGAGGTGATCCTTTCCCTCTACTCAGCACAGGTGAAGTCACACCTGGAGTATTGGGTCCAGCTGTAGTGTACTCAGTACAAGAGGGACACTGAGCTGTGCAAGAGTCCAACAAAAGGCCCCAAAGGTGGTAAAGGGACTGGAGCATCTCCCATATAAAGAAGATCTGAGAGAGCTGGGACTGATTAGCCTAGAGAAGAGGGGGCTCAACATGGGTCTTACAAACGTATGCAAATACGGAAGGAAGGGTGCAAAGAGGATGGAGCCAGGCTCTTTCCAGTGGTGCCCACTGACAGGACAATAGGTTATGGACACGAGCTAAAATACATGAGGCACAGGAGGTTCTGCTTGAACATCAGGAAGCACTTCTTTCCTGTGACAGTGACTGAGCACTGGCACAGGTTTCTCAGAGTGTATCTCCTTGGAGATCTTCAAAACTATCCACACATGGTCCCAGGCAACCTGCTCTAGGTAGCCCTGATTGAGCGTGGAGGTTGACTCAGATGACCTCCAGAGGTCCCTTCCAATGTCAACCATCCTGTGATCCTGAGCCTCTGTGTGACAGGATGGGTCTACCACCACGCCTTTGGTGACTGTGCAGGATCTCCAAACACTGCTGGTGAAGATGTGTCACATGCCAGCAGGTAGCAGGGCTACGAGTTGCACTCTACAGTAGCCTCACTGGGTTTCACAGAATCATGAATCTCTGGAGATCACCCGGCCCAACACCCCAGCTCAAGCCAGGTTCACCTGCAACAGGTTGTCCAGGACTGTGCCCAGTCAGGTTTTGAAGATCTCCAAGAATGGAGACTCCACAACATCTCTGGGTAACCTGTAACCTGTAGGGTTTGGCACTGGATATTCAGACAGTGATATTTCTTTTCTGTGATTGCTGTCCTCGCTTCATGGGGTGGTGCTTGGTCTAGTGCTGTGGCTTCCCACGAGAGTCCCAGTAAGCATATCAGATCCAGAATGAAAGACAACATCTGAAAACAAGGGAGTGAGTAAAGGAAAACTTCCTAAGGCAAGCTGGGTGAGGAGAAGAGCCAGTCTGCGGGGGCACAGAGGACCAGCAGCTGATCATTGCGAGGGTCCATGCAAAATCACTTGTTGCCTGTATGTATGGGGGACTCTGGGAAGGCACGAGGTAGTGATATGTGGCACCTCCTCATTCATCTGTTTTTCAGAGAAGTATACTTCAAGAACTTTATTCAAACATCAACAATCTATAATGTCAATAGACCTGAGGACAGAGCTTCAAAAACCTTTTCCCATATTAAAATACACTATATACACTTTAAGCTGGCAGGGTTTAGGCATCCAATTTCTCAGAAGTGCCTGCATTCTGAACTCGTTCACACTGGTGTGTTGGGCTCTTAGCAAAACAGCAGGCACCTTTAAAAATCCCTCTCTGAAGTTCTGAATGGAAATATCCTTGAGAGCTGACAAGAGACGGGTTCCTAAAAACTTTTGGAAAAAAAGATTTTGGTATGTAAGTATAAGATTTTTCTCACTGAAAACAGCATATGTAATTGATCAAATGTTGTTTTGACTAGGGCATAATATGCTTTTGAAGCTGTATTCATTCTACCTGTATTTAGAAAATCAGCTTAGGATGTGAAGTAAAATAGAAACATTTAATTTAAGCCACTTTTTGATCATATATATATGTGTATTTATAAAAATATATGTATTTGTGCTTTTGCTCTCTGTTGCCTTGTGATAGAGACCTGGTTCATGCGTTCATTCTGTTCTCACAGTGACATTTGAGCTGTGTTCAGTTTTATGTTACTTCCTTCCTGCATCAAGAAACCTCTATCGTGCCCAATTTACACTCTTTGCTTTCACTACACATTGTGTCAGCATTCCAGGCTGCAGTTAACAGTGATTAAATAGGACAGAAATGCCTGAAATACACCAGTGATGCTGTCTGAAACAGAAGCTGACAAGTTCTCTGCTACTTATTCTGTTTGGAAATTGGAATGTGTTCTACTCACTGCACTCTTTGCTCAAATTGAGAAGGATTTATTATTATTATTATTATTCTTTTATTTTAAAGTAAAACAATTCTTAGGCTGGAAAATATTCAATTTCTGTTTGTTTAAACTTTTTAAAACTTCACTACATATGACCACAGATTTTTCCCTTCCATTGACATAATACTGTCAAGGTGTACAAAGCACATGCCTTAACTGAGTTTAGTTACTTGGAGATACAAGCTTGATATTCAGCTACTTTTGGCATGTGGCAGTCTGTGTCTATTTGTGCAGAGCTATTGACTGTTCCATCAAAACTGTCAAGTTCTATTGGGGTGAATAAAGAGAAAAGAAATAGCTAAATGAATATGAAAAAATATATATCAAACAAACCACAAATATTAGTCAAAACTTAAGATTGATTGAAACCTTTCTCCAGAACTATATTCTAGCCTTACATGAAACTTGCTAGACTTCATGTACATGCTCTCAAACCACATTAGCCTGTTTTACTAAAATATAAGCTTTACGCAAGTAAGCTGTCTAATGTGTATGTGTGACTAGTTGCATATTATTGTCCATTTCAAAAACTTCTGAATGAAAAACAGAGACCTCCAAGATACTGAACTCCTAAGTCTTGAAAAAGCTGTCAGGTAGATGTAGGAGGCATACCAATACTAGTATTTTCCCAAAAACAAGAACTGGTAACTTCACTCAAATTCCAGTTCCTCATCTGTTCCTGATGGTAGGGTTGGACTGGCCATTTCCACCAGCCTCTAATCCTACCTCATGTTTTACTTTCTAACAAGCCCTTTCCCTTCCTTTTCTCCCAACCCCTAAGGTTAAAATGGATAAAAGGTATGAGAGAGTTCAAGGGCTACTGTTAGGAGGACAAGACATTAAGTCAAACAAATGGGGTAACAGGATAAGTGGTGACAAATCACAGGGTAGTCAGAAGACTATCTAGTCTATGGTATCATACTGATCAACTTGTTTCATCAGTATGAAAGCCCTCCTTTAACTTCTACTGTCCTCCCCAACCTTACTGCAGTGCATCCTCCACTAGACAATGCAAGAACAAGGTTCCTCCCCTAAAGAGGATGGCTTCAAACCACACCTGCAACCATGGCTTCAAACCAAATTGCCCAGTGATGTCTGGGATGTTGCCAGGATCAAGGCTCTGCCACAGCAGATCAGCACTTTAGCTTGTTTACTGCAAGTGTGACCACTCCCAAGAGAGGAAACATAGAGACTGATGCTTGTTTTAGTGGGGTATTTGGGTGCCACAGGGGCGCAGAGAGGAGAATACACTTTCTTCTGCAGAAGGCAATGCTGGTGGAAGGTTTTGAGACAGAATCTCTGTAGCAGAACTTCCTCCTCCGATCAGAAGGGGAGATAAGAATGAAACTCTAGCCACAGAGTCTCATCTCAAAAGGAAGATTTAATGGTTTCTGGATGATCGTGTATCCGTCTAATGCATTTAGCCTGTGGCAGGAAGAAAAGGAAAAGAAAAGGGTTAGGAAATACAGGACTGATCTTAAAACTACTATGAAACAAATCTCAGCACATCAGTGGACTAAAAGGTTCATTCTCTTCAAAAACAGAGAAAACAATAGTGTCAAAAAGCAATGTATCTCTGTGTTTAGCAAATAAGTGTAATAACTGGGAAAAACAAACAAACAAACAAACAAAAAACCACAACACCTATCTTAGGAAGAAGTGAATATAAGCCAGATTACTTTGCTTTTCCTTTAGGCTTTTTCTCAAGACATTACTAAATTGTAAATGGCAGAGTACATATTGATACTAGTGTTGAAGGAATGCTGAGATTGAAGGAGTGCTGAGACATTGCCATTTGGAAAAGTGTAAACATTACCATCCACCATGGTGTGAAAAGGACAGGACAAGTGTGCCATGAACAGACAGTCCTGACACACATTTCTAGCATTCAAGAACCTTCGTGGTGTAAACAGAAAAGTTGAGAAAGGTGGCCAGAGAACAAAGCAAAGGTGAGAACCTTTCTGACTTTGGAGAACTATTTGTTGAGCAACCCTTACTGCTAGAACTCCAGTGTCTTTTCTTAGCAATGAGTATCAATCTCAGCAGTTTAGATTAGTTAGTAGAGTTGGCACAGTTCTTACAAGGCACTTCATTGCCACTTGACTGTGGTCTTTATTAACTTTATTTTTATTGCTTCTTAAATATGCATGATATTAGGAACCCAGGCCCAAGGAAACAGAGTGGGAGTGGATTTTTACTGATTTTAGTACAACATAATTTTTTCCACTTTGATAAAAATTGTCTGTGATTGTACAATCGATCTCAGGATGGATAGATACCACTATGAACTTTGCTTCTCACCTCAAGTTTTTGATCAGGGTCCACTGAAGATATTGGAATGATAGGCTTCTGTGCTGTCTCATGTTAGAGCAAGGCATTTGATTATGTATTTCCTGAAAGTGGAACCAGGAAAGAGGGAAATGCAAATAAATGTGTAAGTGCCTTAATGGTGTGTGAGCAGTTCTTCCCCTCTCCTGTCAGAGAGCTGCCCAGCCAGCAGCATAATGCAGTTTCACATGAGTGTGCTTTACGGGGACTGGCCTTCCAGACCCACTTTGGGCAAATGGAGAACAACTGGTATAATGTAAAACAAAAATGTCTACTCAAGAGCTTGTACCACAGGACTGTAGCTCACATTCTGCAGACAACCAAAGGCCAACCCTTCCAGGAGGTGTTGATCTCATACTGTCTCCCTGTTCATCCCTCCCCCTCTCTTTCAGTCATCTCTAAGTTCCAAATAATGATTTTGTCATTGCTGGGGGTTAGCAAGCACAGCTCCCCTTCTCCTCTTGCCATTAGGGTTTTTCATGTCTTATTATCATGTTCTCTAATCTTCCTGCCTTTTGTTGAGCATTGCAAGCCCAGTTGCAGCTGTTCTGCATGAGTTTAATCTATATCACTGGATACATGTGTGGATGAGACTCTCCAAATGCACGTGTTCAGCTTCGATGTTATCAGAAAGACATAGCAGCCTTGACCTTTCACATAACTCAGCTAGCCATGAATGGTGGCAAGCCTTGTCCCTCAGCCACATAAATTTCATGCCTGTTACATCAGCTGCTGTGATGCAGAAGAGCATTTTATCTTCCCTACTTTTGACATCTTAATTTTGTTACAGGGCTTTCCTATAAGATGCTCTTTGTATATTTTCAGCCCCAGTTTTTGGCTGCTTGCAGGTATTAGACAAGAGAGTGCAGCCCAGACACTTTCATTTGTAGAACATGAGTTAATTAGCACTTTTAATGGGTTTAATGGATTGCCTCAGAGTCTTGGAAAATGCTTCTTATCTTGCTAAAAACAATTGGGAACACAAATTAGTAGTTTCCATGCTTACTTGTAATTACATTAAATCAGCTGATGTCCAAGCTGGAGCAGTACCTATGTGAATCCACTTATGAAAGCTGTTACACCTTCCACTTTATTCTGTCTCTGTCTTAATATACATTTATGTTAGTGATTGTGAGAGTACCCACATGTTGCTGTTTCTGCTTGTGTACAGTTCCCATTTTGTTTTGGTACTGTTTAGCATTTGTAATGAGATCCTAAGGGGTGGCACAGCTTTGTGATGAAGGGTTACCTTCTATTTCTTAATCCCTTGTTATGCACTGTTACATGTATTAGATGGTTTACATATTAGATGTTAATTAAAGGGGAGCAGATGGAATCTGTCAGCATCAGAGAGGCTGCATGTTCAAGTTTCTGAGCCAGCAAAAGCAATCCACCAGTTAGTGAGGAAGGCAGCCAGTGAATAAAGCTGATCTGAATCAGTAGGCAATCAGAATTACAACTTCTTTGTGTGAAATGTGATTAATTAATAATATAGAAATTATAAGGTAGTTAGGAATAACAGACTTGCTGAGTAGCAGCTGCTGCTTATGTCAGTATATCCTTCATGGCAAAATAGCTCTGATACAGAATATGAAAAGTGCTGTGCAAAAGCTGAGCAATTTTCATTTTATTCACTATTACTCTTCACACTGAGCAAGCAGGTAATTCACCTTCCTGCAAGCAGATTTATTTCTGTGTAACAAAAAAGCATTGGTGTATTTTCCTTCTACTGCTGGTGCTTCAAAATTTCTACATATTTTTCACATGTAAACAAACCTAGTGGTTTTCCAAATGTGCAATGTAAATGGAAGGGTGGGCTCTGAAGCTGCAAGTGTACACAAAACTTCTGGTGGGAGGGTTAAGTGGCTGTGCCTCTGGGTTCAGCCTTTTGCTCATGAGGTCCCATCACTACCCAGTAATGTTCTCAAGTGTGGAAGTAAAACAGCAAACCATCTGCCCCTGAGCTGTGCAGGGTCACTGACTGGTGAGCTGCAATTTTATGCTTTTGAGGGTCTGTTTGTTTGGCTGGTTGTTTTTGTGGTGTATATTCTGATATCACTGCAAAGGGGATGCTCTGACAGCCATGCTGGTACATGCAGTGACACCAACATTTGCACTCTTGAAAATTGGACTATGCATCCATTTTTTTTGTACAGAAAGCCCAAAGTACTCTTCTGTGGTCTGTGCAGATGAACAGAGGAAAGATCAGAATCAAATGGAAGTAATGATTGGAGAGGGGAGGAGAGAGAAGGAAAGAGGAAGTGGAGGCAACTATAATGGAAATTTAGCAATATTATTCCCAATTTTGACTTTCAACACCTTGTAGTTCTGTTTCTGCCCCCAGGTGTTGAGCCAGGGTTCAGCTAAACACATTTTTATAACTTGTCTTCCTAGCTTAAGACCTGACAAAGAGATGAGTTGAATCTTCTGTATGAAAAAATTAAGGGAAAAAATGGGAAATTGCAGGTGCCAACTTGGAGATGTAGCATGTTTGTGAACAGAGCACTTTGGTGGCTTCCAGACTTTCATCTCCTTATGCAAAGCACCTGATTTCTGATCATGGGATGCAACCATGGAGCTGTGTGTGCGGTTGTGTTTTTGGCAAATGCTTGGGGAGAGTAGTGTGAGCTCTCACCTTGCACAATTGTCTGAGTGCATGACTGGGCATCATCTCTCTGAAATAAAAATAGGTGCAGAAACAACATCTCAGCACGTAGCAGCTCAGGGACTGACAGGCATTCCCTAGTGAAGGTGTTTATGGTGTGGGGGCTCATATTTGGAAAGCAAATGTCTCAGATGAAGTGGAGAGAATTGGGTATGAAATAAGTGAAGAGATATTTTATGTGAACTTATTGCATTGCAGAACTGCATTTTTCTTCCAGTTCTTCTAAACTGGTGAAATGCATTTTTTATGCTAAAATGAAGGGCCAGAGCTTGATTCCTCTGGAAAAGGCTTTTTAAAAAGATTGTACTTTCTGTGGGGTGACTGAGCAAGGTTGTATGCAAGGAGCTTTCAAGGTCACATGCTGTTGTTATATTCTGTTTTGCATCACGGTGGGAGCCAGGCGCCCCAACCCATTAAACTAGGCAATTTACACACAGAACGTGTCTCCAGTTCAGACTGAAATAGCACTTTAAAATCAATATAGCATTTGATGTTGTATCAGGGACATATCCAAGTTATATTAGCGTAAACCTGTCACCATTATTGACCAAATGCGTAGTTTTACTGCTTTTTATGTTTAAGAAGACCCATGTTCCTTGAAACTTGCTAATTACCTTTAACCATATTTTTGTTGCCTGCAGTTTCTTAGTCTTGGTGGACTTGAACAGACTTCCTTCTCAGTGGTCTTGAACTAGCTCTCATTATTTTGCTTAGGATCAACACCAGGTAACTGGTACAAACTTCCTTAAGTCAACATTTTAGTCATTTTCCCTTTCTATTAAAAAAAAGTGACAGTAGGAAGTGGGCAGGGTTCTCTACCTTTTGCTATTTTCTTAGATTATTATTGAGCACTCAGAAGCAAATTCTGTTCTGAAGAGCTTATTAGGTGATCCTTTGGGAATATGAATGTAACTTTGAACCTAATGTTTCCGAAAATAAGTAATTTTAACAAATATTTTCCTTGTGTTCTTTTTTCCCCAAATTCCTTATCCATCTATATCACCATGTAGAATCAATTGTTCTAAAGGTGACAGAGACATTTCTCTTAAATCTCTTCATTTAATTTCCACATTCAAGCTACCAGTATCTATCACTTGTGGTTTTTTTGTTTGTTTGTTTGTTTGTTTCCTTTATTTATTTTTTTTTTCTGTGAGCTTATCTCACACAGACATTTTATACCAAATGCCATTTGAGCTTGATTTTGGTGCACAAGAAAGACATAGTAAAAGACAAAGTAAAACTGCATCCAATATTGGACAGGTTAGAAACAGGAGAAGCTTACTTGAGTGGGCTGACCTAGGAGAGGCTGTGCATCCCCCAGTTGCATGGCCAGGGTCCTGAGCCAGATGAGCTGAATTCAGGGTGAGTCTTTCCATTGACTTCATCTCAGATTGTGGACCCAGAGCTCTTGCTGAGAATGTGACACTGGCTAGATATTTCTTATTGAATTATGTTCCCTTAATTTTTTAGCAAGAGTTTCACATTAATGTTCATTTGCTGCATGGAAAGATTCAGAAAAAAAAAGAAAAAAGTTTTTCTCCTGAGATTAATGTATAATGACATCTATCCAAGGAATGCTTAAGTATTCACACTTCAGAGAAACTGACCTTTAAGCCACACTTAGTGAAAGTAAGCTAAAATCAGTGTTACATTCTTGTTACCAAGGACACTTATAGTCATCTTCTTAATTGTCCTTGACAATCTTATCATTAAAGATCTTGGCATTAATTAACTATATAATGTCCCTTGCTTGATAAAATAAGCCTTGTTGGCACAATAGCCATTGTATTCCCTAGGCATTCTTTGCAGGGACTGTATCTATAGCAGGGGTCGTTCGTGCTACTAATGTTGCCTGGATGACACGCAAACATTTGGAGCACTTAATTGTCTCAGAAGTGAGCTGAATGAAGGCAGTGGTGACGCTGTAAAATATGTTCCAAATCAGTGTTTCTAAAAGGGAGCTTTTATGCCAAGATTAGTATCAGTGTTTAATTGACAGCCTCTTCACTTAGTTAATTACTTGTGCTATTGTAGCAGAAAGAGAGAAATGGACAAAGGCATTTGTGATATGAATCACTACCAATACAGAAACAAATATGTGAGTGCTATGAAGACTGGCAGGAAAAACACTGAGTCTTATCTTTCTCCCACTGTAGTGTGATCTTCTTTCAGCATTTGTGATCTTCTTTCAGCATTTTCAAAGGAAAACCTGAATCACCACAATAACATCGGTAGTTCAAAGGTGGCCAGGTTCAATGCTTTTACATTTTTCAGATGACTGTCAAGAAAAATCACAAGTTGAAGGCTGAAAGTTCAATCTGTGTGTTGTATATCAAAACACGGTTGGACAGAAATTACACAAAATATGTGTAATTAACAATACAGCTCCACTCTCAAAAAATTAGTCATCTTTGAAGAGTGAAAGAGTTGAAAGACCTTTCTTAATGCACAATACCTAGCCTATCTATACTTAGCTGAACTATACTCATGCTATCTCAGAGATAAGAAAGATTTTTTTTCATATATAATTAGAGTGCTTATGCTGCCATCACTTTCCATTAAAAAAAAAATAAAATAAATGGGTGGAATAAAATTTTGAATGTGGTCTGTAAATCTTGTGCAGCTTAATTCACTGACACTGTTGTGTTTATAATGTAAGAGAGCACAAGACCTTTCAAATGCAAAAGTAGAAATATGACAGTCTTGTTGAGAATGCTTTCCAGAAGGTACAGTCACAGTTGTCTTGGGGTCTCACTTCCGTCCTCTTGGGTATTCATGTAATACCTACCTCCAGCTGTGTTGTTGGCAGACACGAGGCAAAAACAAACAGCTGCTGAAGGGAAGCAGTTTCTAGAGTGGTTCTGTAAGGGGCTGAGTCCTCCAGTCTTTGGAAGAGCAATTTTGGATTTTATGAATGTGTATAAATACCTGAAGGGAGTGTGCAAAGTGTATGGAGCCAAGCTCTTTTCAGTGGTTCCCAGTGCCAGAACAAGAGGCAATGGGAACAAACTGAAACATCAGAGGTTCTGTCTGAACATCAGGGAGCACTTCTTTACTATGTGGGTGACTGAGCACTGGCACAGGTTGCCGGTAGAGGGTTTGGCATCTCCCTCCTGGGAGATTTTCAAAAGCTGTCTGGACACAGTCCTGGACATCCTGCTCTAGGTGTCCCTGCTTGAGCTGGGGGTTGGACCAAATGGCCTCCAGAGGTCCTTTCCACCCTAGACCCTTCTGTGGTTCTTTGATAAACCGAGGGAGCCAGCAAACCTATTGGGTTTGGCAGCAATTATCATGGGACGCTATGTTAGTTTTGTACCAATGGTCATGGCAGAAATCACACCTGACACAGAAAAAGAACACCTCTAAGCAGACTTGTAGAACACAAGGCTAAAATACTGCTTATTTAGCAGGATGCCCTTGCCATTTTTGGTTCCTTGTTTTCTGGTGTTACATAACCTATTTTCTAACCTTTTTCCTGTTGTATATCATTACCAGAAAAAAAAAATAGTGTGATAAAAGTTCTGTGAACTCTCCTCCCTTTCCCAGTGCCACTGTACCTCCACACTGAGCAATTAGCACACAGCAAGATGCAACTCTTTTTGAGCATGACCTCTAAAATTGCTTTGAACCATCCTCAAAATATTTGGATCCAGTTCTTGAACGGTTTTGGTGCAAAGCAAAGAAGCTTTTAACATAGCAAGTCAACTCTAGCAATCCTCTAAATTACACCAGAGCAATGGTCATTAGCAATTTTAACTGGAGACCCTGGCATGAATGACACTGTCATGAGCAGCAACAACTCAGTCCCATTAGTCTTCTATTTCCAAGGACAAGGTGATCACTTCCTTGTATCATGTAATGTCAGGTAGCTTTGAGATGTGCCATTATGCTATGAGCCACTGATGGAGAAAGAGGATGGCTTTCTTCTGCTCTGATCAAGGTTGTGTGTCCTCATCTTGTCCGCATGTACCCAGCTGCTGCATTTGCAGGCTGAGTCACCTCTGCTGGCTGTTCTTGCTTGAAGCTGGAGAGAGAGAAAAGTGGTCAATGGATGAACTGACATATGGGACAGGGCAGGTATTCAGACAGGGGATCAGAGACAGCAAAACTGTCCTTTCTGGGAGAGAACCAACAGCTAGATTGGTCTCAGCACATCATGAATCCATGTGTTTGTGGCATAATGTGATGTGTCTGAATGCAGAGACACCCAGCCAGAAGTATACGTAAATGTTCACAAAGAGGAATTACAGCTAATTTTGAGGAGAAAACAATAAAAAGACCTTTTAACTCAGCGTGCATGTCAGACTCTATTTGCACATTAGCATTTTTTCCCAAAAAGTTCCCTTAGGCACAGTTTTAATACGGAAGTTACATTGGTTATGAAAACAGACCCTTACTGCATACCATCTCATTTTATGATCCTCCTGAAAAGTTGTCATTCCCCACTAAGGAAATCAGAAGCAGTTACTTGGCAGAGGGAAACTAAACCCCATTTACCATTGCCAGCGGGTCTGAAGAGGATGCAGAGATCTGCAGGTATACTCTGTGAATCTCTGAAATACTCATGCTCCATAAAAAGCATCAGGCCAGAACTTTATTTCAATGCAGAGCATTAATTTGCTTTCTCCCTTGCTGATGGAAGAATTCAGATATTCATAGATTCAAGCAATTTTTTTTTCTCTTCTAGCTCTGTTCTAACTTTGCACTTCTTTTTTTCTTTCCTAGAGACTTTATCTTTTGCTAACAATTTTGCAGAACAGATTAAAAAAAAAAAAAAAGTTATTTCAAAGCAAACAAAAAGGTGTTGTAAACATTTGGTTCTGCAGTATTCCCTTTCAGACTCTCAGGAGAGGACTTGAGTTAATGCAAGGGTTTATTTTTCTCTCTCTTCACCATTTTTCAGGGTAGAAATACAGATACTGGTGAATGTGCTGGGGAAAACATGCAGCTGAATAGGTGGTAAGACTTAGGTGCCAGTGAAATTCTACAATAGGGTAAAAAGATCACTCTGAAGTTTCTGTTTTGGATCTGAACAAGGACTGAACAGAGGCCCTGAAGACTGGTGGTGCTGGAAACTTGACTTGCCATAGGCTGAAATACACTTTTGAGTTCATTCAGGGGCAGGGCTATATTTCATGGTTTCTGATACAGCTCATGAGCTCCCATCACATTCAGCCCTGCCAGACAAGTTTTCTGGGACTGGTGTTAAGCATGCAAGGCACAGTGAGGCTGTCCAACTTTTGTCTACTTGTTGCCCTTTTAGATACAGGCACAGGTAGAGCCAAGTGGTCATTTCTATCCAAAAAGTTGACTTGGTAGCTAACTGCAGCTAAGTGTCAATTGCATCAGTGCCTGTTGACCCAGGGAAGACCTGTATGAAAATATCTTATTGCTCTGTGAGTCAAATTATCCCAGACCTTCTGCTCATTCTAAATGTTGAGTTAAATGAAACAAAGCTCTGGAAAGAAAACAACTCACGACTCTCAGAGAAAAATTGACAGAATGATAAGTGTGGCATACTTGCCTTCTGCTTTCACCAAATAATCTTTTCCTTTATTTGGTTCTTTTACAAGAAATGCAATAGGATTGAATTCTCTCTGTATCCATTTCTTTAGTTCTTCTTCCTCCATTTTGCAGAATTTCTGCTGTTGTTTTCTCTGGCAGCTTAGTAGAGTTTGGAGTAACTGAAAAAAATAATACAAGGAAAAGACTAGACTGGAAAAAATAAACTTTATGGAAAAGTGTATCTGTTAGTCCCTGGAATAGTCTTCACTGGCAAACTCTTCAAATGGCTTATTTCAAACAGAACCAGTCAAGAATGATCCAGAAAAGTTTGGAAGGAGGTAGATAATTTTCAGAGATTTCTTTTTTTCCCAACTTATCTAGCCCTGGTAGCAGATCTGTGTCACCTGAAGCAGTTAGCAATGACATTCACCATTGCATTGATAGAAATGGATCCCAGAATTAGTTTCCCATAAGACCGGTCAGTTGGAACATGTGGTTTTGGCTTGCTATCTGTAATTTTCAACAAAGCAACACAGGTATGTGTTTAGCAGATTTGTTATGTAACCATAAGTCTTAGACATTTAAAAAAAAATAATGAAATTACAAATTGTTAAATAAGATTAAATCTCTGAAAGAGTGCTGGAACTACCTTGTTTGTATTCTGACATTTAAACTGCCCTTCCATGCTATGCTGAAAACATTAATTAGGATCATCTATAATCATCACTAGATAAAACACACACAATGACCTTATTTTAGTTTCAGATTATGCATCTGTAATACCTTTGAACACTTTGCATCAAGACAGCTCTTTGGGCAGTCACTGTGGCAAGATGAGACTTTGCTAAAATAATAAACTTAAAAATTCATTTTGAATTACAAATT